ATATCTGTATCTGTAAGAATATCTGTAATACTACAGCTATAATATGAATTGTAGTAAACAGAAATAGAATAACCTTCACTCTGTGTTCCTGTACTGGAGCCTTACCAGTTTGTTATAGAAGGACACAAATCCATACCCCTTTGATTTCCCTGTTGTCATATCCTTCACCACTCGTGCATCCCTGAAAGAAAAACGTAACAACGGAAAAGTCAGTCCATTGAAGGTTTGCTAGAGGATCTAAAAAAGAAAGGAACCACACACATTGCACTGTACTGACACTGTTACAATATCCTAAATAATTCTAACAAAACATTACACTAACAACTGCATATTCTCTTGATTACTGGTACTTTAAAAAATATATAAAATAAAAAAACAAGTACAAAGTCATGCAACCTACACTACTGCATGTCTTTAAAAGCTCCTGCAAATATTGCAACTTTTCTTAAGACATCTCCTGTGACACAACATAATGGTCCAATCTTCATCTTAATAACTAGAACTTAATCTCTTATATTAGTAAAAGTCATCAATGTCATTACCATGCATTCCTAGTTTCAATTGCTGTCTCTAATTCTACTCAAGAATACATAGAAATATCAAAAGAGAAAAAAAGGAATTAAAAGGCATACATGGCCTGTTAACAGATTTCTTTATTTTTCCTGGTCAATTCTTTACCACCAATATGGAGTTTGGGAAGCTGAAAATTTCGAGAAATTAACATTTTCAGAATTGTAGGAGAATCAAACTATCAACACAACTAGGAAAACCATCATATAACAAATTTACAAGCATTCATGAATTATCTAGGGATTGTTAAAAGTCTACACTACGTCAGCGTTAATTGAAAAATATTGCAGTATACAAATATGAAAAGCAAAGAGTAAATAGAAAAAAAATCTACATCTGAGTTCCCAGAGTGCACAGTTCCTTGCTGTTAGCCTTCAAGCTCCTGTCCAATCCTATGAGCATTTCTGTAAAATAACCAGAGCTCTATTAACTGACACTCAGAGCTAAAGGAGACTGAAATTTTTGCAGAGTAGCAGTGCATAATGTTTTGTGTTTTTTTTGTGTGTTGACAACTACAATTTAAATTTATGTAAATCAAAACTACTTACCAATTTCAGAAAAGCAGTGAAGTGATGAGAATTTTTAAGGTGCACTTTACAACAGATTGATCTGGGTACACACAATATTGACTATACTTGCTGTGACTAGACCTGTGCTTGCTTATAATATTGATTATGGGACTGTTACATTTAGCAAGGAGAAATAAAGCTTTCATTACTGACAGAAATGTGACTAAAGTGTCAGCTAATCCCAGCACAAATGACAAACGTATTCCTAAAATGAGCAAATATGTTAACAACTATCAACAACAAAAGGTAACCAAAATAAAATAAATAAATCTATGAAATTGTTTCCACAGTATTAGGGAAAACAGGGGTTTAAAAAAATAGAGAGCGAGTTCATATAAATCAAAGTAACCTCAACACCACCACTCGACATTATTCAGACAAAAGCAAAACATATTCCATAGAAAGGTGCGACATCATGTAACTTACGAGATTTTCCCAAAAGGTGCAAATGCAGCTCTGATGTCATCAGTTGTGATTTCAGGGCTCAAATCTCCCACAAAAACATGAAAGTGATCTGCAGAAAAAAATTACATTTAACACAAACTATTACATAAAAAAACAACAACAACTAAACCACAATTAATATAAAAGACAATAACTTACTAGATGTATCTTTCTTCTGACTGCTAGGAGTAGTCGCCCAATTTACCTTGACTTCCTGTCAATAGAAACACACTTATATGTTATGGCGCCGTTTGATTCATAAACAATATTTATATTTAATATTTATATTTAAACAATATGAATGTAAGCCAGTGGAGAACTGGCCCCCGACTGAGCCTGGGTTCTCCCAAGGTTTTTTCTCCATCCAATCTGATGGAGTTTGGTTCCTTGCCACTGTCGCCTTGCTTTTGGCTTGCTTTGAGCTTGCTCAGTTGGGGTTATTTAGTGTTTAGCAATGTTGTTGATCTGTGTTGTGCTACTTTCATGTTATCACTGTGAAGCTGCTTTGATACAATCTGTATTGTGAAAAGCGCTATATAAATAAATGTGACTTGACTTGACTTGACTTATTGAAGCCATTAATTTTATATTTAGCGTGCAATGAACCACAATAAACATAAAACCACCCAAATCTTGTTCCACTTTTCTAATGAAACAATGCCGCAAGATGCACCTTTCCCAAAATCTTCCTTCCGTTCATGGCGGCTAAGGCAGCTGCAGCGTCTCTGTGTTCAAAGAATTCGACAAAGCAATATGGATCATTGCTTGTTTGCTGCAAAACAGAAAATCCAATAGAAGAGTTCATCTTCCTGCTGCTATCGGACTGCTGAGAAGAAAAGCCAGGAAAATATATTATTGCAATGTCATGGGTATTGGGTGGAAGGCTCTGTTTAATATTTTCTGTCATTAACATCATTTTGGCATTTTGGTTTGATTTTAAGAAAATTTAAGAAATTGTTCCAGGATAATTTAAAAGCAAATTTATTCCAAATATTAACAAATGTTGAGTTTGGCAGGTGTTTCCACACAAACCCATTTACACTTACAAACTCGTGGAGGAGCTCAAATACAGAACATTTCAGGGAACATTTGGAAAAACATATTTTGTGATGATTTTTCTTTACCTCTGTTATCATTTTACAACTTTTACATGGCCCAATCTGAGTAAATAACTGAAGGATCAAATTCTCCGTTACATCTCTTGAAAGATTCCCCACGTAGCTGAAAAAAAAAACAGATAAAACACATTCATTTAAAAGATATAAACATCAATTATAGATTACCCCCATATAAACATGTTTTTAGACTACATTAGATACATATAGGTTTTTAAAAAGAACATGATAGATCACTGATATGGCTACAAATTAATCTTAAAACGCCAATATAAACTTGCTGAGGCCCTAATCTAGCCAAAAACAATACATCTTCTGAGAGTCCTTGGGTTTTCAAAACTACATAAAATAAATTATAATACAATAATTCAAATGTATATTTCAGAGTCTGTATGGCTATAAACACAATTCTTAGAGCAGAGATAAAACACGCTCCATGTGAAGGAGTCAACTGATGTTCGGTTATATGAGTATATTTATAGATGATCTAGGTATAGATCTGACAGCCCCCCTTTTTTGCATGAGTGACATTACGATGGGAATACACATTTGCCCTCATAACTGAACTACTGAAAATGTGTTGCAGTTAATCAACCAGTCAAATCAGTTGACATTTTAATCTGAAGACGTTGTACAAAATATAAAACCAACATTTCTAGAAAAAAAAGCAAGCCTGAGATTAGATTTGGCCTTCACTAAATCAGCAGGCAATGACATAACGTTACTCGTTTAAACACATGGATACTGACAAAATAGTTTATTAAATTACATAATAACCCTATATACCGTAACTTAGGAAATGCAGTTCACATTTAGCTAATGTATATACATTTGATTTCATTATTTTGATGTATAGCCAAATTGACTGCTTAGCAGCTAGCTTAGCTTCAGAATGCTACAGCTAAACAGGTTTCTCACACTTGTCGGATGAAGATAAAAGCTTTTCGATCTTTCCTACTGTGCGAAATGTGAGCAATAGTAACTGACTGAACCCAGTCGATATTAAACAGCGCTTACTAAAACCCCTTGATGTCAAAAACGTTTGTAGGACGTCCTATTTGGAGCTAGCTGTTAGCTAGAAGTATGTCAGTGCAGTGGAGCTAACGATTGAGCGGTTATTCACTGAACACTGACTGGATTTGTGTTTTCCGCTACTTACAGGGTTTTTGGGTGGCTCTCGTCTTCCATTCTTGGATGCCGGAAGAAGTGCTAACAAAACCTGTTTTCAGTATCTCAAATGTGGTTTATTTTTAGGATGAACAATACTGGACTGGTGCTACTTTCAATCTTGAGTAGAAAATGGCGGAACACGGGTAGTCAGGAAGACAGCCACTGCGCATGCGCACAGGCAGACGATTGATCAGCCAGACAAGGAAAGGGGAGATTGATAAAATATAACTGTCTGCAGGTGTCAATATATCATGCTTCACGGGTATTTTACTTGATAATGTGACCTTGCGTGTTATTTATGTGTACTTGGCCTTATACTTGTTTTCCAGTGACCACTTGTTAAGTTTTAATGGATGCCTGGACTTCTGTTCTGGTCAAAAGAAACACAAATAGCACTGATACCATGCAATATTTTAATGATGATTGGTAGTGATTGTAGACAGAGATTTTTACATTTTAAGAAACCAGAAAACGTCTGAAAATCATCACCAAATTCGATTCGATTCTTCGAATTACTCGATTACTTTTTTTGTAAAATGTGTGTGTGTGTGTGTGTGTGTGTGTTATTATAAAAAGTGTGTGTGTGTGTGTGTGTGTGTGTGTGTGTGTGTGTGTGTATTATGATAGAAAAAAAAATTTGTTGCAATGTATTCTTCATATTTAAGGATGCATGAGATGAGTGCCTAAATATTATAAAATGTCAAGTATTTAATTAATTATAGATTTACAACACATTACTAAAGCTGTAACATGCTGAAATGCAGGTATAACTGTCCTAGTATTTCACATTATAGTTTTTATTAAATTGTATAGGTTATTCAATTTTATCTATAGAAAGAATCGAGGGATTATGGGGTTGCCTTTACATTCCAAATATTTTAGTATTATGTGATAGATGACAAATATGAAGAAGAATGACAGTATAGATAAGACAGATTTTTTTTTTTAAGTATTGCTGTCTGTCTTCAGAGGTGAACACTAAAAAGCAACAAGTGTTCTCGGTCCAATAAACCGGAGAGGTAGGCGATTAATTAAGCGGATCAGAGCGGATCTCTGTCTGGACGGTCAAGGGGTCATTTATGGTCACACACTTGGGCGTTACACAGTGAACCCTAGAACTTTCTCGGTAACGTTGTCTTCGGATGGACCTTGCTGCTTCCAGAAACCCATCCCCATTTACAGTACGTCATCAAACGGACCCTTTAAAGCGACTGTAGCGGCTGTAATGGCACAATATTCGGGAGCGAAGCAATATCAGAGTATGAAAACACTGTCTCCAGTCGAAACGATGGCAACTAACGATCCTCTACCACCTGGGTGGGAGATCAAAATTGACCCGCAGACAGGTTGGCCGTTTTTTGTGGATCACAACAATCGCACAACGACGTGGAATGATCCGAGACATGACACGAAAAAGGTAAGATAGATCTTGATTTTGCTTTTGGAAGTTGCGCTGTCAAACGTGATCGGTTGCCAGGTGATTTAAAATGCAGATCTAGATGGCGCGTTTAATAGATTACTTTTGGGTTACGGCATTTTACTGGGTGTTTCATCGAAAAGTCAATTTTGTTGAGTGCGTAGGCTACGATCCCACTCAGTATCCAAACCATACTTGAGCAGACACTGTCTAGGGTTGAACAGCCACGCACTTGATATATTTGCTTTAGCTCGCGCAGTCACCTCTATTGAAATAACGCTTTGCGTGCATTCGAACGGCTTGATGGAATATGCACAGGCGAAATATATTAGTGTGATGATCTCAGCTGAAGTGATTAGTGTGTGACGCACTGCAGTCATATGTGAGAGTGTTAGAATGACTCCACAATGTTTATTTAAAGCCCCGAGAAACACGCACACTGCGCTTGTTCTCCACGTCCCTGGAACTGAACAGTATAACACGTCCCTCAAAGTTTCCCTTACATGGGATTTGAGAAAGATCCACCCACTCATGCATTCTGACATTCCCAATGAATGGGCTTGAAAGTTACATACGGGAAGTGTCAAACTGTTATGGAAGTAAAAAAAAATGTGGGGTGTGGGGCGAGGGTTTGCCAGTTGGCATCCTCCATTAGGTAGATCAACACTTGTCCGAAGTTAGTGTCACCAAGAATCTACTGGAAAGACACAGCTGCCAGGAGATAAACTGGGCGCTACTCTTGGCGTCCGTGTCAAAAAAAAAAAAAAAAAAAAAAAAAAAAAAAAAAAAGCAGAGGGCTTGAGGTCATACTAGCCTTTATTCTCACTTGGTTTTGAATCAGTTTTGTAAAACTACATCTAAATCTCCTAATTTGATAACATTATAAACCAATCTGGAGTTTTAAGCTTTAGGCCTAGGAGTCTTAGAGAAATGAATCAGAATAGTGTTGCATTTTAAGCTAGGCAGATAATAGATTTGGTATATTGTCATTTTAATGTCTTTACATATTTGTTTGTATGTTTACAATGCAAAGACTTGTAGTTGTAGCCTACATTACATTTTTATTTGGGATGGAGAAACATTTTGCTGAACGTCAACATCTGAAATATAATTTATCATTGTCTGGTACTTGATGCATAGAATGTTTTTCCTCTAAAAAATCTGTTAAATTGCGGTCTCATTAGCGAAATTTCAATTTGAATTTCACAGACAAAAACTCTATTTGAAAATAGTGAATCGATGCATGAGGCGGCACAGCTCATACAGAAGTCACATTCAAACCAAGCACCTTTCTGTTGCCCAACACAGCAAATTTTTCCAATTGAGATGACTAGATTAGATTTTGTAGGTGAAATTTCACAGACAATGAGCAAAAGTAACTGTGGCGCACCTTTATTTAGCAATAATTGGCCCCCTTTTGAAAACCGGTGTCTTTAAGTATGTATACTCATTGGCTGTTCTTCGGCTTCGAAATCAGAATGTGTTTCGTGATAATTTGTTAGGGATATTATATCGTTTGATGTTTGTTGTGTCTGTGCACCTCTGATTTACATTGATGAGTAAGGGAGGCCCTCCCCCTCACAAAGAGTATTTTAAGACACAGTGTCAACAGCACAGGAACCCATTGAAAAATGCTGCCTAGAGTAAGTCATGGCATTAGAATCGAATGCATACTGGGTATATCCTGTAAGCCAATGCAGTCGCTTAACAGTTGTTGTGTACAGCGAGTTTTTACCCACTCATATTTCATGTTTGATCCTGGACAGCCTTGTCATTGAGCGAGGGCGAACTGACCTTTTCATGTCAAACGGATGGGAGAAAATGCGAGCTGTGTTTAAGCTTAGTTTTACATTTACAGTTGTGATCAGAATTAATGGCACCCCTGGTTACAATGATCAAAAATGGCTGTAAAAATTGCATTATCCTTTTGATCTTTTATTTAAAAAAAGCAAAAATCTAACCTTTCATTGAAGTAAAAGAATGTAAAGTGGGGAGGAAATCGGAAATCACATTATGAAATAAATGCATTTATTCATTTGGCTGCAGTAACATAATAATAAATAATATAATTTAGACAGATTTACAACGGGTGGAATTCGCATATGACTGTGTATGACAAGTCGTAAAATTCTACAACTTGACAGTGATGTGAAGCTAATAGGAAAAATTTAGCAGGTGTAAAACACTGTTAATCACATCAGAAAATGTGTCATATGTCTATGAGAGTGACTTTCAGTTCACAAAATGTATATAAGCATAACTGATATAACATTAAGAGAATACTGGAGTTTTTAGACGTTGTGCTTTGTAGTAAAGCACTATTTGAACACTTCTTACGTTTGTCAATGTTTAACTCCTAAAAGTTTGTCCCCATTGTGGCTATGGTGTATACAGTATATACCCATTCCTTTTACAGTTCAGATTAATTATGAGAATAATGATCTAGATACTGATTATTCAGGGTTATTACACAAAAAAAGATCTACATACCATTATCTCTGGCTTGTTTTTAATATTTTTGGCCTTAGCAAAGTCATTGGTGCAAGTCATGCTGCTTGTTAATAATTTCTGGAGCTTACTCAGTAACCCAGGCATGCTTTCATTATTTGCCTTCTCCTGCAAAACAATTTGCCGTATAGCTACTAAATACTTCAGTGGAGAAGGAATGAAGAGCATCATCAGAAGTGATGTTGTTGATCAGATCTATGTTTACCAGAGTATATTGCTTTACTTGCATTATGGTGTTAAATTTGTCATCATTGCGTGAGGATATACTGTAACCAGTTATTTTTGAATAGTGTTTTCAACTGCTTATATATTTATTTATTTTTTCAGATTTTTTCAAATGGCCCCTCTATGTCCTCAGAGTCTCCTCAGGACATGCATAAAACCTTTATTCAAGAGATGAGGCAACCAATGCTACGCCAGGGCTACATCCCCATCCCAGTCTCCCATGAAAACAATGAACCCAGGCTGCAGCAGTATCCGAGTTTCTCTTACTTCCATCCATCAGTGCAGCAAAACTTGAGAACAGAAGGACGTACACCTTCCCCGACCCCAACAGCACACTGTCGGCCTAAATCTCCAGTACAGGCCCCATCAGAAGCATGTTTGTCTTGCTCTCCTGCTTTACATGGGCCTGAGGTAAGCCCATTAGGTCCTTTTAGATATGTCAGTTTCTGCCAGACTTTGGATACATTGTGAAAGATTCACATTCAGTTATTGGGTATGCTTCTGAAGGATTTGAACTTGAAATTTCCAAGTTTCCCTTGGTGCACTGTATTTTCTTGCTAAAGAATTTGTGCATTAACAGTGGCCTTTTTAGCTGTGCAATATGACACTCATCTACATGTTCTGCTCCACTGTATGAATTGTTTAGGTGAGATACATGTGATTTATTTATTTATTCTGTGATTTGGAAATGCAGTATACACTGAGCCCAAGACAAATTTGCCTAAGGGGAAAATAAATTATATTGTATTGTAAATTTGGTTTATTTTAAGGTGTCTGTAACTATACATTTAAGTACTGAATAATATTAAGTAACTACATGTACTTGCTATAGGGTTTAGTTTAGGGTTTGTTGCATGTAAGCATGCATAATTTATACTTGTTACTATAGTTACCGTGTTACAGTGACACTGTAAAATAAAGTGTTACCCTACATTTTAAAGATGTCATGGTTTTATAGGTTTCTGAAAATTAACACTTGCTAATAATGGTAATATAAACACATTATTGTTGATTCTAATGTTCTGTCTTTATTTACTGTGGCACTTCACATTGGTTTGTCAACCCTTGCCCAAGTTAATGGAATGCAATATTATTATATCATTTATATATAATCAATTTAATGCATCCTTGCTGAATAAAAGCATTAACTTCAATGGTAGTGTATAGTGTAAAGGTAGTGCTAGCTTTTCCCAAAATCAAACTGTATTTTCATTTTCACTAGGTTCATCAACCACAGGGGACACACCAACAAATCAGTGGCCTTCATCAACAGCCCCGACCCAGCAGTACGGGTCTCCGAACAGGCTACATCCCTATTCCGGTGATCCATGAGGGTGTAGGAGGGGGCCTACAACCCCAGCCTAGCCAAAGTTCTCATCCCACACGCGAAAAAATCCCAATCTACCGTGAACAAGTGCCCATTCAGATTCAACAGAACCGCGCTGCCAGTCCCATCCCAGTCCCCTTAAGGGCACAGTCACCTGTCATTTCTCAGATCATGGGAGAGAGACCCCAGGTATGTGGTATTTTTTGGCATAAGCTCAAGCCATTAATGTTAAAGGAGGTGTATGCAAGAAATTTATTTCAAATAATCATAAAATGGCCCTGATATGTCATGTTAATTTCAAATACTTATATGACTGACAACAGTAGTCCAGCCAGGATATTGTCATTTAAAAAGTGAAGTTGCAGCCCTCAACTGATGTTGATGTTGTCATGTTGTGTTTTGGTCTGATGCTCCACCCCCCACTGATCCACCAATCACAACAGCATTCGGGTTGTCAGCGCTGCTATAGTTACCACAGATACAAATGTATAGGATAAAAAATGTTGGATCCTGCAGCCTATCTGGCAACCTCGAGTCAGGGGGGAGGGGGAGGGGATACACCACTCTACAGTAATTTGAAAGTGATTGCAGTACCAATTTTGGCCACAATCTTACATACGGCTCCTTTAATTTATGTAATATTTAGTGTTTACAATTACTAAAGTGTTCAGAAGTAATATATGAAATTAAACAAAAGTAAATATGTTAACATTGACAGATCCAGCAACACATTGGACATAAACCTGAACAACCAGTCGAAGAAATTGCCAGAGCGTCGCCTGCATTTGAGTTTCCCATTCAGAGAGTTAGTGATGTTCCTCAACAAATATATCATCAGCCAGTACACCAACAGCAACAAAAACAACAACCTGCACAAACACCTCAGCCAAAAGCACAACAACCTACACCGCAGTCACCGCAGATATCAGAGACATCCAATATTACCATACAAGTTCCTCCAGCACCAGAACCCCAGGAAACAGTTGCCCCTCAAACCCCTCAAGACGTCCCACCGCCATACGTCGAGCCTGAGGAGACTCTGGAACAAGATCTGAGTCACCCAGGACTGATCAAAGTGCATCAGATATTGGAACGTGTGGATAAACTGGCGCAGGAGGTGAAATGCTTCGATGGGAAGAAGAATGATAAAAGATACTTGTTGCTGGAGGAGATGTTGACCAAAGAACTGCTGGCTCTGGACTCGGTAGACCCTGAAGGTCGCCCAGATGTGCGTCAGGCTCGGAGGGATGGTGTCCGCAAAGTTCAGACCATTCTAGATGAACTGGAGGTGTTTGGAGAGCAGCTGGCTGGTAACAAATGCCGCGAGGCGGAAGGAGAGCCAAGTATGATTTATCAAGCAAATACAGAAAAGGTCAAGGAGATTTCATAATCGCACAAATTTGAAAAGAACACTAATCAAATCCCCATTCTTGTTTTTACTTGCACAATTACTATTAGTTGCATGCACGAAATAATTTAAGTTTTCTGTTGGAAATTAAATGATCTAATGTGATTTGTTTACTGAGTGCAATCATGTGTGCTGTTATGTGATGCTGCTGTTGTCAAATCTCACCATGCCAGTGTCTTATAGCAAAAGACATAGTGGTGACACGTTTTATTCTAAAACACACATGAAAACGAGGCCTTGAACCAGAAGAAAGTATTTTAACGTCCAATAAGTATCTTTTATACCATGTGGAATGAATGTTAAAATGCTTTTTAATAATCCTCAAGAACATTTTTTTGAAGTAGTAGGCCATCACAATGAAAAACTTTTGATTTGATTTGATTTGTAACATTTTTCATGTGTGGACTAAAATAGAAGAAATGTATACATTTGAAATATAAAGGCATTCATTTTGGTCTTGAATTCTGGGAAGGTTTTGTTATATATATATATACATACAGGGAGAATTATTCGTTGTTGAGAGCGAGCTTTGCTGACAGAATTCCCTGAGATGGTTTGAACTCTTGTCAGTATTGTTGTTTGTTGAATGACAGTGATACAAATAATGCTATATTTTTATTCTATTTTTCTGTGCCAAAAAGAACATTTCCAATAGTAAGAATGTTCTTCTTAAAAATGTTGGATCTAAAAAAAAAAATAATTATAACATTATAAAATTTTCACTAAATATGAAAATGTTAACGCCTTATGTTTAAGGAATGGTTTGTTAAAGCAGTCAGGGTCGGTCCAAAGTTGTGGTGATTCATGAACTCAAGAGGTACCAAAATAATTCTGTTTTATCAACATTGTGCCCTTGAGCAAGGCAACTTAATCAGAACATGCATGAAATGGACTTGAAATGAGTGTACCAAAAATTACTTTGTATAATGTATCAGCTCAATATAGTTTAAAAGAGAGTGCTGTATGTCCCACGTTACTGTGAGGCTTTTTTATCTCAATGACCTGTTACTGACTCTGATATCGTAATAATAATGCGAACAAAACTGGTTTCAAAGTCTGTTTTGTGAAATAGTATGCAATGTTCAGTGTTCACAGCTTGAAAATTTGCTATTTGTTAAAATGTCGACATGATATGGTCACATAAGCATAACTGCAAATAAATATTTTTTGGAAAATATAATAAAGCAATTTGCTTACATTAAGTTGCATGGTTTATAATTTTACACCTACCGTTTAAAAAATATGTATGCTGTGTCCAGTAACTGTGTTTGAAGCGCAAAGGAACAAACAGGATCACTACTGCGTTGACTATCCCATGGTTTATTAGGTATTATTTTTATACATGTAGGTCAACCAAAACAGCAATTAAAAAGGTCAGCTATAGGAAAGTCAAGAAATTAGTCAGTGGAATGTTAGACAAATTTGCAGAATATGTTTCTTGAAATCTAGAGTGAGACCACAGCATTATGTAATCAATTGGGGATAATATTACATCTAGAAAGCATTTTAATTCCTCTTAGGATGAGCATCAAAGACTCTAATGTACAAAGGAGTTGATGAATGACGCCTACATGCCAACTACAGCTTTACCAGCCAGACAAGGAGCATTTCACTGAAAACTGATTACAACTCACCAGTCATTTTAGGATGGACTATATATATATAGGACTATATATTATATTAATATTAATATAAAAGGGGGTCAAAACAAAAGGTTGGTCTTAAAAAAAGTGTTTTACGTTAGTGTAAAACTGATCTCATGAGAAAACGTCTCTGGTTACTGATGTAACCTATGTTCTCTGAATAGGAAGCGAGACGCTGCGTAGCTTAAGACAGTGGGAACGCCCTCTGGGTGTGCCGATTGTCTGAAGCCCTTATAGGATCACGGCAATTCATCGCCATATTATATTAGCGCAAACGCGCCATCTGCACCTCAGATTTCTCTGCCGAAAAAAAGGATGCTTGTTAGCAGCGCAAGGAGCTTGGGAGCGAACGCAGCGTCTCGTTCCCTATTCAGAGAACATAGGTTACATCAGTAAACAGAGACGTTCTCTTTTATAGGTTCACTCAACGCTGCGTAGCTTAAGACGCAGTGGGAACGAAATACCAAACTCGCCAAGCTAAGTGCTGCCGTAACTAGTACAAACAGATAGCTTGCACGACTGGTTCAGGCAGATAAAACTTGGGAACCTGGAGTCATGTCATGATCCAAACTGTAGAATCTGACAAAAGTGTGCGGAGTGGACCAGCCTGCCGCTACACAGGAGGGCACCTCTAAAAAGTGCTTGAGAGGAAGCCACGCCTCTGGTGGAATGTGCCCTGATGCTAAGAGCTAAAGGCTGACAGTGCACCTCATATGCCAGTGAAATAGCCTCTGTAACCCAGTGGGAAATTCTATGCTTTGATGTGGCAAGCCCGTGGTAGCCAGCACCAAAAATACCAAGAGCTGGTTGGATTTCCAACCGCCAGAGCGATCCACTTATAACTTATAGCAAATTAAGCTGTGGACAATACTTTGGCTGATGGCGCGTGCGCGCTATTATAATATGACGACGCAAGAATGTCGGGGCGGCGCCCGCACCATCAGCCAATGAATTGCCGTGATTCTATAAGGGCTTCAGACAATCGGCGCACCCAGGTGGCATTCCCACTGCGTCTTATGCTACGCAGCGTTGAGTGAACCCATGAAAGGGAACTAATTTATTATGTGGTGATTTTGAATGAATCGTATGGAAATGTTCAAAAGGTCCACCCCATAACCCCAACCCTAAACCTAACCGTCAGTGTAAGTAGATCGTAGAAAAACATACAGATGAGAGCGTATTTTATAAGAATTAGCTACCAATTTTATCAAATCTAAAATATCACGTTTTTTTCAGATGTTTCAAAGGTAAGTAGGGCCCTCATTTTCAGGTTCCATTGACACACATTTAATTTTTCTTGCGAGACACAAACAGGAGTGCTGTAAAAGTGGAATGTTAGGATGACTCTAAATGGGGCCCTGATTAGACAGTGTCTCCCCACCCCCGGGAATGCAATTTTGCAAGAGGCCCAAGGCAATAAACTGTCAAGGAGGAACTAGTTATAAACTACCAGAAACTAGTGTTTCTTTACATAGAAAAACAATGGAACCAGCAGTTCACACAGAACATATTTTTGCTTTTGATGTAGGATACTGCATTGCATTTATGCATTCAGTATGCATTCAATTCTAACAAAAGTGCTCAAGTGGTCTAATGTTGCTATGGTTTCCTTTTCCTATACCCATATTTTTAAACATCACATGCAGCGACATTACTGCTCTAGCGCTTTTGTTAGAATATTTAATCAGATGATAGACAAAATTGTAATAAAGCAATGATTTATCATTTTTTTAGACATTACATGATTTCCCAAATACATTTAATCATTAAAGGGGAACTATTATGTAAAATTCACTTTTACATGGTGTTTAAACATAAATGTGTGTCAGTAGACAACCACCCTATAATGGTAAAAATCCACCCACTCCTTTTTTAAAATCCCCATAAAACAGCAAAGCATTTACAACACATTCTGGGGACGCCAGAGACTATTATATTATATTATATTATATTATATTATATTATATTATATTATATTATATTATATTATATTATATTATATTATATTATATTATATTATAAGGGGCAAAATAGGTCCCCTTTAAGATAAGTGTCCTCACAATGTCAAGCCTACATTGAAATCACCTTAATTACAACACTTCAAATATCGAATCAGCAATATAATATTGAAACAATTCGTATTGTGGTCAACAATTATATAAGGTTCTCTAAAATACAATGCAATACTAGTAATTATATAATATAAAACAATACGTCAAAGCAAGAATTCATCTAGTCACAGATGACCTATGTTCGGTGTGACGGAAGAGGTCACGTGTGTGTATAACTGGAGGAAATCGTTTCATTCGCTCTGCTGCTGCTCCCCTCAGTGGAAAATATTAGACAGACCGGTACATTTCCGAACCACTACAACACTGTTAAACTGACATTAAATGCGCAGCCATTTTTGATGATCGGCCAGTACCTGACATAGAGGCATGATGCTTTATCAGATGATTATAAACGTTTACACAGGTACAGAGCTAGCAGGTTAGCTGGCGTCTATCAGGACTGCCAGTGGACGACAAGGGAGCCGCTGCTTCATTTCCTCGTTTCTCGGATCGGGAACAAATCCAGCGGTTTAGTGTCTGGAGTTCGGGACGCTCTTATGTTTTGGTATTATGATGAACATGGAGCTGTTTCAAGCTAAAGATCATTATATTATTCAGAGCGGAGATAACGCGCTGTGGTGCAGCAGGAAGGATGGATCTGTGGCCGTGAGACCTGGTAAATTAATGGTTGCATTTTAACTTACTGTGTGCATACTGTGTGTAACGTTACATGTGTCTCAATGTTTTCGTTTTCACTGTCTACGCGTAATGTACACGGCACGCTGCTTCAAAACAGAGTGATTTGTGCTCCTGACATGTGAAGACTGAGTTGTATAGTTTAATGTATAACTTAAACGTTAGGCGATGGAAATGTACGTTTTTTAATCTGTCGAGCTAGGCTGCTGTCTTGAAAGATGCCCAGTTGTGGTGTTTACATTACCCTACTCTCAAAGCAGCGTTCATGAAATGAGTTTCAGTGCAAATCTCTGATGTTTTGATCGGATGATGTTGTGATTAAAACCCCTTTTACTATTTACAGACTATATGTGGTTTAGAGTCAGTATTATGTTGGTCAAGGGCGTTTGTTGAGAATCTTAATGGGACAGTTTACATGAAAATAACATTTGTCATCATTTACTCACCATTTTATTCCAAATCTGTGCAACTATTTTTCTTATCTGGAACACGAAAGTAGATGCTACAGAATGCTAGGCACCGATTCAGTTACCACTACTTTCATATCATGTTTTCCCCCACACAATAAAAGCGAATAGTGAAAGTGTCACTCCCTAAAATTCTGCTTGACATCTTTCTTGTTCCATGGAAGAGAGCCATACCACACAAGGATGCAAATTGTTGCATCCAAATTATCTTGTTTTGATGTTATACATAATTTGGGCCCAGTTCCAATTGTGCAGGCTTGATCTGTAAATAATAGTATATAACCAGTTTACTGGGGTTACAAATGACCACTGTTTGGGAAGATATGTCAGTAGTGACTAAACATTTAAATGTCCATCAGCTCATCTTGCCATTGAGTTGGTCTATTTCTAAATATGCTGGATGGTGCTGTTAGATGTCTCACAAGAGAACGATATTTACACAGTTAAAAGGTGAAGGTTAAAGTCAGGGTCAGATATGTGACTGTTCTTCTGGAGAAAGTGGTGTGTTCGGGTAAGGCAAAGTAGTGCTAGATAGTCAAATGAGAGTTTTTTGACCAGGCATTAAACCAATAAAGTATTAGGTACCAAAATGTTCTTTAACCTCAGGCAGTTTTGACATCGCTTTTGTGTCATGTATGCATTGTACCAAAAGGTTTGCATACTCAACCACAGGCGTTTTATGGTCACACAGACAACTAAAAATGCCTTCGTTCTCTCGCACTTTTTTTCCCCATTTCCCCTTTGAATGTTAACTTATCCACACCACTATCTTATGCCAAGTCTAAAACTAGATGGTCAGCTAGTCCGTCCTGCTGATTATCGGTAAACTTGCAGCCTGCGAAAATTTGAATAAGTTCTAGCGTTTTTTTTAGCCATGTGTGTGCAGCCGAGCTGATCAGGTTTAGGTTGCAGTCTGTTCCATTATTTAACTGGATAAGGGTTTCCACTGTATTCATGATGCATAGATACAGTCTCAGTTCTTTTTGACAAATTCCATAGTTGCCAGCATGTCTGGGTGAGTTATACCACCGTATTACTTAACAGTTTGCTTATTATTAAGTCCCAGTCTGTGAAGTGTGGCAGATGAATAGATCATAATAATGTCAAATTAATGGTTAGCCACTTCAAACTTCAATTGGATACTTGTATGAATAGATCAGAATGATACTTTTAATTACAAATTATATTATCATCATAACAATTTGAGTGCAATATAGAATTTAGTTTCAGAATTTCTTGGTACTTGGTAAGTAACTGCGGCTACCAAGATATCATTCAACTCCACGGATCCAGCTGTCCAATGGGCTAGTAGTTGGAGAACTTTCCTCAAACTGGACACAGTGCC